TCAGGTTTTAGATTGAATCCAAAAAAGGCTTAAATAAAAATTTTAATCGCTCCTTTGATCCTTTCGGATAGGAAGGGTTGCTAAAATACTTGTCAAAACCTTTTAACATGCATGCCAATGGAGTATTTGGCACGCTCTGAGCCCCTCCCATTCTATCACACTGCCGCCGACTCGTAGCCCCGGAACTTCACGGCCACTAGCGAGAAATGCGACGGCTTAACCACCCACACAACCTGACATGGACTTCGTTAGGGTAGCCACCCCGAGTCCAAGGGAGTGATCAAGTCCCTCCTTCTGCCTTCAAATGAGGCAGGTACAATTCTTTTACAATATACTCACTTAAAAACGCTCCCACTCCGTAGATTCCTGGTCAGGAATTTGTTCAGACCACCTTTCCTGCACCGCAGGGTTCTTGGACTCGATCAGAGCTCCGTTGGTCCCATAGGGCTATCGCTGCTGCCTCCCGGAGACGTATCTCCGCGGCGCCTGGAGAATGTTCAGGAGCGACCTCCCGATGGTCCTGAGGGGTCGAAACGGCCCTCAGCGAAATATCGCCTTGCACCTAGTCCCGGCGGAGTCGCCAGCTGTTGTAGGAGAAATGACGGAACTAGGCCAAGCTCTTCAATGCAGGAAAGAGTTTATTGCGCAAGGTTCAAACAGTCCAAAGACAGCCAAGGGTCTGAACAATGATGGCCGCTTTTGGCCAGATATTTATACAGTATAAAGACAAAGTTATTACGAAGAGTGAGACATTTCACACGTAGAGGTTACCCTTTAATCTATCTCTAGGAAAGACATAACAGCCCTTTTCCCACAGGCTCAGGTTCTCAGCTCCGGAGCTCAAGACATAATAAAAAGGAGATAAGGGGCTCAAAGGCGTCTCACAAGCAGTAAAGAGGACAGTAAGGAAAGCAGTATTTCTTCTCTAGAATCTACATGACATTTGGGGTGTAATAAACATTAAACAACAGGATGTATCTGTTTAGGGTCAGTTTGCCCTTTTACAATTCTGTACCTACGTCAAATACCGTTTGTCATCTCAGCACCTTGGCACGGAAGAGGCACTTCTGTCTTGACCAAAGATTTGGATTTCTAATATTTGAGTTTTATCCCAATATCGAATCTTAGCCTGGCTCATGGTCACTCTCCCCCAAGGTTCCTGTAACTTCAACACCCTCTCTATCATTTCATCTGTTAGTGAGAATTAAATCCAGTATAGCAAACCTTCTAGTTCAGGATTGTCAAACTCACATTGTCACGGCGGCGTCACATGACATATTGGGACTTTTTTCCCCTATGCTAAACTGGGCGGGGGCAGCACGTGATGCATCTGGCCCATGGGCCGAGAGTTTAACACCCCTATTCTAATTCATAAGGAACATATTTGATCTCCCAGTAGATGCAGAGTTTGTCTCCCAGTTGATAGTTCAAGTCCCCCAATATATTGTAGTGTGCTTCATGCACACATTAGCTAAAAGTTCTATTTCTTTTATTTGGTTAGGTGGTCAGTGGTATACACCTATGATAATGTCATTCTTTTTTTATATTAACACAAATGCATTGAAGAAGGTTTTCATCTTTGGGTTTTTGGGTGGTTTTTTGCATTTCCATAGAGGTGTAACTATTTTTTATATATAATGCAACTCCACCTTCTCTTTTATTAGGCTTGTTTCTTTTCAACAATCTGAATTTCTCTACCTGTACATTCCAGTCATGGGTTTCATCCCACCAAGTTTCAGTAATGGCAATAATATCATATATGCGTCATGTACTTGGATTTCAAGTTCATCGTGTTTGCTCCTCATACTTTGAGCATTAGTCTATAGTCATTTGAATCCTTTTTGACTGATCTTGTGTTTGCTATCTACATCTCCTGTGTTATATCTGAGTTCCCCTTCTTTCTCGCTACTTGGTTGGTTGCCTTGAGATTTATCTAAAAATTGGTCTGCCTCCTCCCTCCCTGTTTTAGTTTAAAGCCCTTCAGATAAGGCCAGCCAGTTGGATTAACCAATTATAGGTATTGTAGACAGTGGTCTAGGAATCCAAAGTTCCAACTTTCTCTCAACAGATCTTTGTCATTTTATTTGTCTACATATGAAAGAAGGAACAGGGGTAACAATCTGTTTACTTAATTATTTTAGTAAGCCTCTCAGTCACATCTTTGATCTTTGCTCCTGAGAGACAGCAAACCTCCCTAGGAAGATTGTTCAGTCTACAAATTGCTGGGTTAATTTCCCTGAGTAGTAAGCCTCCTATCACCAATACATGCCTTTTTTTTCTTGTGGAAGTCTGATCTACTCTTTTTCTATCATACTTTTCTTCCTATCGATATACTTTTTCCTATCATTGGTGTACTTTATGATGTCCCTTCTCTTGGTGTCTTTCCACTTTCTTCCAAGGGAAGATTATGAATTTTGATTCATAATCATGAATTATGGTTAATTTTCTTTATTAGTTAATTGTTCCTTACTATGTTCAGTTTGGTTGCAATCTTCTTCTTTTAGTTGGGGTTTCTCATTTGTTGTTTGATTACACAAAATTACACTGATAGCACTGAGCATAAAAGAAAATTACTTTGCATCACCACTGAGCAAAAAAAGAGAAAAGAAATAATAGGCAAATATGAGAGTGATATTCACATTAGTGATCTTGCTAGGAAATACAATATGCCTAAAATAACAGTCTCCACCATTATTAAGAATAAAGAAGCAATTAAAAAGGCTGATGTTAGGAAATGAGTTAAAGCAGTAATAAAGGAACATTCCCAAACATTCAAGGAAGTTGAAAAAGTGATGTTAATTTAGGTAAATGAGAAGCAGTTAGCAGGTGACAGTGTGTCAAAAGGCATGATATGTGAAAAAGCAAAAAGTGTTGTATGTCGATCTTTCGAAAACAAATTGGGACAGAGTTGCAAGTGTTGAAGTTTTTAAAGCCAAGCATGGTTGTTTGATAATTTAAAAAAAAAAAAAAAAGACTGGCATCCATAGTATTGTGAGGCATGGCAAGGCAGCAAATACTAATAAAAAGGCTGTTGATGAATTAATCCATGAAGCACAGAGAAGCTGCAGGAACTACAGGAGAAGCAACAAGAGGTGACTAAAGAAATTTCTTCAGGGGAGAAGGAGATAAGAGAGGATATCCCTATTTCCTTGATTTAAGAAACGTGTGGAAAATGGACAGAAGTTCAAAACTGTGGAGAAGTACCATCTGGACAAAACTCTGACAAGTAAAAATGTGAATTTATTCAATGACCAAACAATTTCACACTTTCGAGGAATTCTGAAAAGAAGACAAACAGTCCTCATTGGATAAGTTTTTAGTGAAGCTGACAAAGAGTGTGTCAGAGCCTGTGATGCAAGTTGAAAAAAGGCAGAAAAGAGAAAGAATACCTGAAGTGCAAGTGCCCAATAGTCTATTGGAGCAGGACTCTCCTTCCAAGCAACCCTACATGCAACCTCTCCTCCTCATTGCTCTTCTCCTACCATCCCTGTAATGGCTTCCCTAGATGAAGAGACTTCAGAGTAGAGCTCAGGGGAATATCAGGAAGACACCAAGGGAGTGAACGGGTCAGAGAAAGAAGAGAGGCCAGGAACCTTGGAGGGGCCATCAGAGGAATGACCAGATGAGTGCCTGGCTGGAGAGGGGAGAGATGCAGCTGTACTAGAGGCTCAGAGACCCAGTCAGAAACACAGGGTGGAAAGTCAGCATGGATGAGAAGGAATTGTTTCCTCCCCCAGATCCTAGAACACATAGGGGCTGAACAGAGAGAGGCACAAGGGAGTCAGCAGGGCTACTCATGAGGCAGCAGCCTTGTCTCTCCTAGTGAGTTACACTGGTGCACACCTGTTTAGCCCAACATATGGAGCAACGTGATGTCAAATCAATTGTCTGTATTCTCTGCCTTGCGTGTGCTCCAACTCTGTGACTCCAGTTTTTGTGACTTCAGATCTGTGCTTCATGTGGCTGCATGTTTGGACTTCAGATTTGCTTTTTGGACTTTGTACCTTGACTTGGATATGTCATGTGTAGACTCTGGATTGTGCTTGTGTGTGTGTGGACTTGCAGATTTGTGCCTTTGCCTGTAGACTTTATAACCCTACACTTAGGCTGAGCAGACTTGGACTCAGGGGAACTTTGCAGTTGGTGCAAGTGTGACCTGTCTTAATAAAGTCTTTAAACCTCCCCATGGGTTTGTGCATGTGGATTGGAACAGGGCAATCTCATTAGGACATGGCCTCTTCTCAGTACAGAAAAAGTGAAGTTTTTATTTTATTCAATCTAAGTACAATATTTATTAATTTTTAGGCTTATTTCTCATGTAAAGTAATGATATACAACCCTATTTTTTTACTTATTGCCTTAAAATGTGCATTTTTGGTTCGGGAATGCATTACATTTATTTATATTGTTTCTTATGAGAAAAAATTGTTTGATACTCATTTTTAGTGTCCATCATGCCTCCCAGAACCAATTAACAGTGAGTATCAAGGTACCACTGTATGTATGTATGTACAGTATGTATGTGTATGTATACATATGTGTGTGTATGTATGTGTGTGTACACACACACACATATGATATATAATCACAGTTAGTGTAAAAATATACAAAGGTAGTAAATCTCTTTTTCCTTCAGTTGCAGCTGCTGATGCTGATGCTCTTTTAATATAGTGTATTGATTAAACATTGAGAAATACATAGTTAATTCAAAATTATATTATAACTTAGGTTTTTTAAATAATATATGATTGCAGAAAAATTTATGTTAGATTATGTAGCCTTTTGACAGAGAGTGTACTGATGATACTGCACCCTGAATTGATGGATAACCTTGGTTGACGTTTAAAATTATTTAAGGACTATTTATAAAATCCAGAACTCAAGTGGGCAATCTCCATACACTAACACTATAAATATGTGCATGAGAAGAGGAAATGGATAAACAAGTCATGCTGTTAATGTTACTATCACTAAATAATTATTTCCTGCCTTTCATGTAGCATGACAGAATCTGCCCAGTTCATGTACGTCGACGCTCTTCTTCTGACTTGACTAAGCCTAAGTTTGGCACCATGCCTCTGATTTCCCTACATGGAGACAGCAGTAATCCAGTCATGCTCTCTGTTAATCAAACCTTGGTAAGGTTCCATTTGGAAGCCAAACTTTTGAAACAAGAATGAATTACAAAGCACACAGGGCATACATTTTATTTATATCATGCAGTCATTTTGAGTTTATGTGGGCTCGAGGAGCATCACTTTATTGTATGACATAATACGAAATTCATGTATTAAGTCAGTATGCAAACTGTTGCATTATCCTAATAGTCATTGGCAGGAACACTACGTTTTTATGTTCCACCTTAATAAATAATAAATACTCCTTATCCATCAGTACCCCCACCATCCACTGCCCATGAAGCAAGAACCTAGTTGATAATAAGCATTTATTCCTTTAAAGCAGGCCCTTTCTGACCAATAGATGTGACATAGATTTCACTTTTCAATGCATCTGTTGCATAACCTTCCCTTTGCCTAGATGGCTGGATGACTTCTTCACAAAGGATAGGTTATCTATCTTTCTTGCAAGAACTATGTGCACAAACTCTCCAGATTGTCCTAATTTTTATTTTCCTGTTTTTCTGTGAAATTGTTACAGCTTCATCTGTCTACTTTTTTTTTCTTTTGCATTCAGCATCGCTTACACACTCGAAGGATATTGTCCATGTTCTTTGTAAGTATTTGTTGATTTGTTAAAGCCATAGTTCAGTATATTTAAAATTCCATATAAATTCTTACATTAAATGTTGGGCCTATGAAGGCAGCTCTTAAAGCAGAAGTGCACAACTGGATATCCCTGAGCTACAAACAACTGTAGACATTTTGGGTGCAATTCCTAGAGCATCTCAAAAAATGGCTACAAAATTGTATTTTTTTAATATGACTTAAGATGAAAATATTTAAATAGAGAATGATTACACAAACAAACCACTCCTGAAAACTTGCCAAAAAGGATATCCCCAGGCAGTTGCTAGGAACCAAGACTGACTTGAAGCCCAGCTCCCAAGAACATTCTGACTTGCCTTCAAGTCAAAAATCTTTCAAAAAGCGCTGAGGCCTTTAGTTAGAACCTAAAACACAAAAAGTAATTATTAGTTGATCTCCAAAGCACAAGGCCAAACAAACATTTTTATTAGTTTGGGTTGATCCAGGGTTCTGACAGGTTCTGGAGAACCGGTAGCAGAAATTTTGAGCAGTTCAGATACCACCTCTGGCTGGCCCCAGAGTGGGGTGGGAATGGGGATTTTGCACTATCCTTCCTCTGCCACTCCCACCAAACCACACCCACAGAACCAGTAGTAAAAAAAAAATGGATTTCACCACTGGGTTGATCCCAAGTGTTCATACTGTCTAACTCAAGCCTATGCATAGATCTCTGAGTGGCCTGTTTGGCTAACCCTGGACAATAAGATCCTCAATTGAAGCCCCAAAGTCAAAGCAGCCCATCATGAACACAGAATCTTTTTTCCCTCAAGCCCAAAGAACAAATCTCACACTTTCTATCTTGACCCCCTTACAGCCAATGAAAATGCATCAAGATACAGAACAGCAGGAGCCAGCTGAGTCAGAGCCTGTCTATGAAGAGGTGGGCAGCTTTACAGACATAGATTTTCTGGAACCCAACCATTCCCTATTGCCTCCTATGGATCAGGCTAAGAAACCAATTAGTTTTTCAGATCAGGTGACATCCAGCATGCTGCCCCCTTGTTGGGTTCCAAGAGCATCTGAAACTGATTTAACAAAACCATGCTTTGAGAGGACCTTTCAGGTGGAACCAAATAAACAGAATCTCACTGATAGAATATCAGAACACAAACTAATTCCAACTGTCTCTATAGAGCAGCAGACTGGGCTGCCTCAAGCAGTTTGCACTGGGCAAGGAAGAGGGCCAACATACTGCACTTCCAACCCTCCATCGGGAAAATCCAACTGAAGTGGAGACTCGGGTCAGTGAGACAAAGAAAAGCTTCCAAACATGAGTCACAAAACCTGAATATATCTCTTCTAAAAGAAAAAAAATACCAGATTCATATCACATTAGGAAAGCAAGAATTTGTGTTGGAGAATGAGGCTTGTAAAGTAAAAGTGAGCTGAGCAGCAGATCCCATTAATGACTGGTGGATCAGGGATCTAGGGCTACTGAAAGAATGAGGCAACTATAGCCAATTGTCCTTCCTGAAAGTGCAGTATTAGAAATTCATCCTCATTTTCTCTTGCTTTTACAAAGCTGTTTTTAATTCATAATGTGGTGAGAGGTTATGCTTCCATTTTTACATTGCTTTGAGAATTATTTTCCCTTTTTCTTCTCTCCTCTGAACAACTTCCTGCTCACTATTATAGTCTCTATCCCCCATTCTTCTTTTGATGAGATACCATTACAATCAAAAGGATAAGCATCCTACTCTTCTCTTACATTCATAAACTGTAAATCATCTCTGTACTTTGTGCTTGTAAGGGAAGGGGAGAAAGAAGAAAGATAAAATCAAAATAGAAGCTACCATCTAGGTAGGCAACAGTTCAGACAGGACAACTTTTAGAAGCCATGTGTGGGAAAGGGGAAGTGAAACATTTTATTTTATTTTATTTTATTATTTTACTGTTAAATTTTATTTAAAAATAAAAATAATTGAAAATATTTTTAATATAAAATATAAAATGTTCAAACAGAAAATATAAAAGAACAAAGTAAAACAAATTTTACAAAAGCAAAAATTCAATTTTTAAAAAATCATTTTCCTTATATCTACCCCATAAGTTTCATGTAGCACAATTAATGTACTAGTCCTTGACTTACGATCACAATTGAGCCCAAAACCTGTTGTTTAGCAAGACAGTTGTTAAGTGAGTTTTACCCCATGCTACGATCTTTCTTATCACAGTTGTTAAATGAGTCACATATAATCACAAGCAGTTGTTAAATTAGTAACACAGTTGTTAAATCAATCTAGCTTCCCCATTGACTTTGCTTGTCAGGTTGCAAAAGCTGATCATATGACCCTGGGACATGGCAGCCACCATAAATATATTCTAGTTGCCAAGCCTGCAAATTTTGATCACATGACCATGGGGATACTGCGATGGTTTTAAGTGTGAAAAACAATCATGTGTCACTTTTTTCAGTGCTGTTCTAACTTTAAATGGTACTAAACAAATACTTGTAAGGACTACCTATATTAAAAGTTTGCTAATATGAATTAAAAGATAAAGATCAAATGAAATTAAAATTATCTGTAATTAAAGAACTGTCCAATTGTATTTGGTGCTGTTTTAATTTTTCAACCAATACTATTTTCTACACCCTCAAATATAATTGTACTAGAAGAACAACACAGTTTTCCAGTGTTTTTCAGTAATAATCCTAGTCACTAGAAACAAAAATTAATTTCTTCTATTGTCCTATTTTACATTTTTCTTTCTTTTTATGACCCTGTAATCTCTTTATTCGGGGTGGAATCAGGGGGACTGAATGGAGTTGAGCTGGGTGGATGCCTTTCCTGATGCCTACAGACATTTTCTCTTTGTGCCCTATTGAACTCTCAACCTTCTGATTGAGCATCTTCACCTTTAGGCCACTACAGCATTCTTTGTCCTATTTCACATGATTTGACAAAACTGGACAATAATGCTGTGTTAGCAATAATTGCCCAATTTAGTAGTGGCATGTTTTCCTTAAAAAAAAAAAAACTTTCAACCAAAATGAACAAGTAAATGGCCATTGCTAACCGATGGGAATATGTATTAATTTAATTATCTTTTCCAACAAATTTAGAAAAATGTTTGCTTAGTATATTTGAAGGCTATAGTATAGCTTATAACTAATTCGTGATAAATTTCCAAAATCAGTTTAATAGTTACATCATGCACACTTCAAAGCTGATTGATCAAATTCACATCCCAAGTCATTTTCTCACATTTTAAAGAAGTTAAAGAGAATCTGTTGCATTCAGTGTAAGAAGAGTAATACAAATTGTCTTTGATTTTAAGTGATATGGTATGTACTATTTTTACAACACTGCTCATGTTTTTTAATTGGGATAAGCTCCTGAGCTGAGGAAGAAAGGACTGAACTTATCTTATTTAAAATAGTTGGAATTTCAGTGATGCCATTCAGCAAAATATAGCCTCCCACCGGCCAGTACGCTCCCACAGAGAGGGACTCCTTAGGGTGCTGTCGGCCAGACAATGTCGGCTGGCAACCCCCAGGAGGAGGGCCTTCTCTGTGGCAGCACCTGTCCTCTGGAACGACCTGCCCCCGGAGATACGTAGGATCCCAGATCTCCGTGCTTTTCGCCATATCCTTAAAACTTTTTTATTTCATCAAGCCGGGCTGGCTTAACCCCCCCCCCTTAGATATTTTTAATTGTTAATTGATTTTAGTTGGGGTGTTTTAAATTTATTGGGCCAAAATTTGTTTAATTCTTTTTAAAAAATAATTTTAAATTTTGTAAGTGATGTTTTTATTCTTGGCTGTTCACCGCCCTGAGTCCAGTGGGAGAAGGGCGGTATAAAAATCTAATAAAATAAAATAAATAAAATAAATAATCAGTAGAAGCCAATAGCCAAAGTTTTCTATTGCCTCATTGAACAGTTTGTATTTATCCTGTGGAGGAAATACTGGGAATATATATATATATTTGGCTCTTGGAGAAGCTTCCTTTAAGTGTTTTGCCAGGACTTTCCATGAGTCTGAAAGTCTGGAAAAGGGTATCAGTTGGAGGTGCCCTTCCCCAATTTTTTTCCTGAGCACAATGATGACATTTTTTCTTAGTTTTTCAGAAAAATGAAAAATGAAATATATTTATCTATCATTCATATATATATATATATATATATACTAGTCTCCCTTTATTTCTTTATCAGCAAAATATAAATTATATATATAAATTTTATATATATATATATATATATATATATATATATATATATATATATATATATATAAAATTTATATATATAATTTATATTTTGCTGATAAAGAAATAAAGGGAGACTAGTATAGATCTATTTCAAGCTTTTTAGCTTTCATCAGCTAGCCATACCCTTACTCAGATTCGAACTTGGGCTTCCTGCATGTTAGGCAGTTGAATTAACCTTCTGAGCCACAAGTTCTCCTCCCTTCATCAGCTTGATATATATATATTCTTGTATGTTTCGTGAACAAATATAATATATATATATATATAATTACAGGTAATACACTACATTTTTTGCATTAGAATGTCCAGTTTTTGGTTTTGGTATAGTTGTATAGCAAGTGTGCATTATAAATTTCTAATCCTAGCTAAATTTTCCAGATATGGGGGGGGGGATGTTTGTAACCTTGCTTGTGTAAATCAATAAAATGTTTCTTTAAAATGTTTTCTTCAGAAATAAAGATTTGTAAAATTGTTTTTATAATCATATGAACAACCTTCATTGTGCTAGTATAATAGTATTGTGGAGAGACTTCAAATTGCCTCCAGAATACCTGAGTAACACTAGAAAAAGCTACAGGTGGCCTAAAACTGTCTCATGTGCTTTGAATGAGGTTTTTAAAATGTATGCACTCAACTGCCCTTGCCAAATTGGTCTAAATAACAAAAAAATGTATCCAGACCCAGTTAAACATGACCAGTGTTGAAGAGATGGTAGCCTCATTTCAGGTCCAAAATGTGTAACTACTAGATGAGAGGGCTTGCTTGCTTGCTTGATTTATTATCCAATAGACTCAGATTCCAGATTTCCATTAAAAATGTGTGCTATTTTTTTCTGTAAATAGTTGTCGTGCTTGAAAAAGACCAATAGGCTCACAGTTTTATGGTGGTGAGTTTATTAAATGAAAAGGATATCATTTTGGAGAAAATAATTCCCTTAACTTGTGAATTTAGCACTCACTCACACATCTCCCTAACAATTCTCTCTAAAAATTGCTGTTCCTTAAAATGACCTCACGATGCTTTTTTTTATTAATCTGTAGTCCAGAGCCAAGGTGTTTAAATTTATATTAAGATGAGCTGACCCTAAAGTGTTTCCCACCTTCTCCAAACACAAGCTTTGCTGTATGAATAATTTGTGATACCTCAGTGGTGGTGACTGAGGTAATAACGTCAGTAGGGGCTGCTTCAGCTCAGCTTTTATTGGCCACTTTGCACCATACTGTGCACTCCCATATTGTTTGGCCCCACACAAAACTGTGCCTTCTCAATTGCTAAATGATTTATTCAGAAAGTATTTAAAGCTAAATACATGATTCTTGAGAAAGGCAAATCCTTCTGTGTTGTTTCCTTTTCCAAAGCAAGCAACTTTGAATTGCTTGCTAGAGGCAGGAGCAGTGGTCAGTTACAGTGTTAGTGCTGGACAGATGATCAGAAGTAGCACATCCACCCACATATCAACAGTCCTCATCAACTGTTTTTAAACTGAATGTCAGCATCTCAGCGCTGACATAGAAAAGGGAGGATGAAGTCTGAACTTTTGCCCGCTAACTCCCTTTGAAGATTCGGTCTCCTTGGAGACCGGAGGGGGGAAACATTCCTGTGAACTGACGGGAAAAGGAATCAGGAGAGTGACTTGGAAGATAGCCAATGAGAAGCAGAGAATTGGGGATCGGAAAGGGAGGGATTGGGGGGCAAAGGTCAGTATTGACCGTGAAGAGCCAGGATCCGGTTGCTGTGCTCGAATAAAGAGAAAATTTCCTTAAAGATTGGCAGTTTGGAAGTTCATTTATTTTGAGATAGCATCGAAACCTGACAGATGGTTAATACTCACAACTTTCCAAGCCAAACTGGCAAACCTCCAGCCCTCCAGCTCCCTGCCAGATGTTTGGACGGAGTGGTGCCAAGGTTCCGAAGCCATGGCAGAAAGCCAACTCTCTACTGAAAGCTTACTTCAAGTGGCTGTGAACCAGCCCCCCCTCCCTACTCCAGCCAGCTTGGATGCAACGGGGCCACCCCCTCCCCCAGCAAAGCTGCAACCCCCCCTTCCCCCCCCCACTGCCACA